TGAAGGAGACTGCAAGGGATTGGATTCCCATGGTGAAGAGATCATCTTCATAGGTGATGGGGGACCCAGCTTTAACAGATTTTCAAAATTTCTCTCCTCATCAAGGATCATGAGAGGTACTCCATTCAAAGGGAGGTCTGCAATCTGGTGCTCTTCAGGTGGGTCAAAACTCTCAAAATCTAGAGGATTGAAAGGAAAGAATTTTTCTATTTCTGGATAGGAGTCATCTGCCGTAGGAACAGAGCTTTTTGCTTTAGTAGTCTTCTCAGTCACCTTTTTTTTCTTTTTTTTGGCCAGGGCTGGGTTTGAATCCGCCACCTCTGGCATATAGGGCTGGTCCCCTACTCCTTTGAACCACAGGCGCCACCCTTAGTCACCTTTTTTGCAGAGAAGTTTAGCTGTTTTTGTTTGAGGAGCCCATTAGTCTTTATTGACTTTTCTGTAGTTCTGTTGACAGTTCCCGAAGCCTTTCTTGCAGCTTTAGGTAAGGCTTGCAGAGCATCAAACTTTTTGCTAACATGTGGTGTTGAAACCTGAGAGCTCCCATCTAAAGATTTGATTGAATGTCTAGACTTCAACTTCAGCCCATCTTTAGGTGCCATATGAGTGGCTGGTTCTCCATTTTCCTTATCGACAAAAATCAGAGTAGACATTCTGGATTATTCTGCCCCAGCCGGCTTTCCTCCTCACTGGACCTGGCTCTCCCAACCACTTGCAACACTCTGGTTCTCCCAAACCTTGACTTTGTTTTCAATTTATCCAATTTGTAGCATGTAGCCGTAGTTTGGTAATTGTCACTACACACTATTTTCTTTAATAGGATTGTACTGTGATTTGTTCATCAATTTCAGCACTGGGGGAATTGATATTAATCTCTGGTTTTTGTTTTTATCCCTGTTATTCCTCCTATGACTGTTAATTTTGTTGTTAGAATAAATTTGTATTTGGCACACATAGTCTACTTTAGACTATTAATTGGGAGTCTTATTGTATACAAAATGAGCGTTACTAGAGGTGATACTCTAAGAGATTCCTACAAAACTTAACTCCCATATCATATCAGGGTTTCTCCATGTGTCGCCAACCCATTATATTTTTCAATATTTATCTAAAGGAAGTACTTTTTATGACATAGGTTTAATTTATCTAATTTCCAGTAAGTTGGAGCATCTTTTTCCATATATTTCAGACATTTTCCCTGTGAACTAATTTCTGTAGACTCTTGTACTTAGGAGATGAGACTGTAAATATTTGTACTGTGAGTCTGCAGGCTATATATTCTGGATATTATACTTAGTTAAACATATTTTTGTGTTACAATATTTTTCCCAGTATTTCTCTTCCATTTTTGTGTCTTAAAGACGTTCTTATTTTTTCTAGTCACGTTAAGTTAATCATCATTCACATTATTTGGTATGTAATTTTTGTTTCTTTTTTTTAGAAATGTCTTTCTAACATAAGGCTAAAAGGGTAGACACCTATTCACGTTTTTAAAATGCTAAATTTGCCCTTCACATTGAACTAAGTTGATTCATCTAAAGTTTATTTTTGAGGCTATCAGGTCAGTATCTCAGCATATTTGTTGTGACCCACTTGCAATAACTGACTGGTCAGTCACAAGCCAGCACTCATGTAGCAGGTGAGTCTGAGCCTTTCTCTGTGGTTTCTGGGGTCTTCATTCTCCATCCCTGGACCAAGGGACCATGGCTCAATTGGTACAGCACTTGGAGACCACAGCATCTGTCACTGATATTTCAGAATACATATTTGATATTTTCACTCATAAAAGAACACTGCTCTAGCATTGCTGCTAATCACATCATGTACAAAATTTATATGCATAAAAAATCTATTGGAGTCTTGTCATCATTCAATGGTATTTTTCAGAGAGGTAAGAAAATCCAACAAACAGGCTAAGGATGGTGGCTCACCCCTGTAGTCCCTCCCTGTCGGGGGAGGCCAAGGCAGGAGAATTGCTTGAGTCCAGGAATTCTAGACAAGCCTAGGCAAACATATTAGACCCTCATCTCTACCAAAAGTAGGAAGTAAGGAAGGAAGATACAATTCCAAATATGACAGAAATGAATATTGGATTGCAATGTCTTCTCCAACTAATATCTAAGAAAATAGAATGAACTCATGAATTCATTGTTCTGCTTATACCTGGACTGTTTTGGATACTGTGTTTCTCCTGTATTTTCTAAACTAAAGAAGGAGATTTTCCCTTTATTATATGAAGTGAATGACTCAAAATAGAAAAGTCCATGTGTATGTTCCATGAACATCATCTCATTGAAAGTGATTGACTTATTTTCTGAATCCCAAAATTCTGTCAGAAAACTTAATCTCTCCTATTATATTCTTTTCACTGAGAAATACACAATCACTTCTATTGAATCAAGTTGACGCTACAGATACCTAGGTCCTCAAGGGGAAGAAATGTACTGAGATTTGCCTCTGTAAATCAGCCAAGTCAGTGTTTCACCAAAACATTACCACTCATTACATCCTCTGGAAGATTTGCTAATGGAGATTTTCCATGGATGGCTGTCCTCACCCATTGAGTGTCTCATTCAGGTGGTCTTGGGAGGAGCCCAAGAATTTCCATTTCCAACAAGTTCAAGGTGATACTGATGCTGCTGGAGCTGGCAGCAAACCACTAGCCACAATCATTTATTTATTCCATGTTGTCCTTAGCATTTTCTAACCAACAGGTTACACTGTGTTTTGGAAGACTGCATATGCATATGCTTTATAGCAATTTTTAATTTATTTTTGGTTCTGATTAATATTCTTATTCAGTATCTACAAACTTTAGGAACCACATTTTGTTCAAAATAACCTTCTTCTTGTTGTGATGTAATTCCCTGAAGAATTGTATTTCATGTGACCTCTAGCAGAGATGATGCAGCAGCACACTGTGAACTCACACTGTTGAAGGTAGCTTGTTTACGCATTTATTCACCTACACCTATCCACTCATCAAATATCTGTAAGTAATCATTATGTCCTGCACATTATGTTACCTGCTGAGAAGGGGCTCTGAATATGAGATACATCCTGTATGTCTTCTAATTTATACTATTGAAGAAGAACCAGATATTCTGTGTTTATATATGGAAAGACTGTCCTCCCTCTGAGGGTCAATAGAAGTTTCCCTGTGAAATAATTTTTTCTCTTAAGGTGAATTGATGTATAGAATTTATTATATTGACAAGGAGTTAATATCAGGCTGATAGGAACAGTGTGGCCAACCAGGTCTGTCCAGAATGCAGAATCTGTGTTCATTAATTTGGAATCACCCACCCAAAGATTTTCAGAACCGCGGGTAGCTCGCAAAGCATGTGAGCAAGCACAGTACAGTGCACATTTCAGTAACAGACCACGAGAGAGGATTTCAATGTAAAGAAAACGGGACAACGGAATTTTGCATTTTATAAAATTTTATTGAATAACAATAAAATGAGATTCCGTTACAGTACAAAAACTTTCAAGGCAATAAAGTGTGACTGATTTGCTTCAGCTGAGAAGGGCTCCCCAGCACATGGAGGTCCCAGACTCGCAGTCAAGTTCCTGCCTCATCCCTGCTCATTTGTGTCCAGTGATACAGAAAGGCCTGACAGGGAAAGACAAGGAGCCACCACGGTACTTCCATATGAGGGATCTCTTGGCAACATTCACAAAACTCACACTTCCATTCTCCAAATCAACATACACACCAACCCGGCCTAAAGGTTTCTCTACAAACTGAGGAATCGATGGGGAGGTTGTCCAGAGAGTATACTGATTATCCTGCCTCACACATGCAAGAAGAAACATGTCCCCAGATACAAGCATTGTGCCAAGACTGTGTATCCAGGAATCTCTACAGACTCCTAGAGCCCAGTCCCAAGAGTCATCCACATCCAGCTCCCAGTAATACTTCCCAGTGGTGAAGACCTGGTTTCCCCATGCAGCAAAATAGTTAGATTTATCACAATTCGAAGACGCATCTTGACTGTGAGATCTAAATGTGAAGTTTCTCAAATCATCAAACAGCCTGATGTTGTGATTGCTTACTTCTTTATGGAAGGAAATCTCCACTGTGGAAAGAAGACAATAGTTCAGTCAAAATCTATTTTACAAATAAATTATCTCTGAGATATGAATGTCTACCTGGATGGTCAGTGGAAGTAAATAGGCCAAGACCACCACAAAGGCAGTTCTGGCAGAACTGTATCAATTCACTGTATCAATCATAATTCACATAAAAATGAAGTAGAAAGAAGGACCTAATCAAAGTGGGGAAATTCCTTCAAGTTCAGAGACTATAGAGAAGGAGGCCATGCCTACCTCTCCCTGGTTACTTTTTCTGGCACATGAAAAATCTGGAGCTATAATTCCATAGCAACAAACTTCCCTACATTTCCCTTCCTGCTTTTTGAGAGGGGAGAGAAGAATCTTCAACCTAGAGAAATGGTGATCACCCCGCCAGTGTTACTATAGGCTAGCTCCTGAGCACTTAAGGTAAATATGCCTGTGAGAAAGTGACTTCCTATTAGGAATTTTGTGCCTTTCACTCCTAGTTTCATTAGTGCCTAATCTGCCACTCTGTCTTAGGCTTAGCACACCTGCCTTAGCTTTAGATGTGCTACTGGGCTCTAGGTCCTGCCTCCTGAACCACTGACTTTCTGTTCAAAATATTGTCTGCATTTACTTAATTTATTCATGCATTTTTATGATGATTTCAACTGAAATTCCCATTATATGAAGTCCAATGTTTCAAAATTTTACAGGAAATATATTTTAAAATGAAACATCAGCATCACTAATTGCATTTAATAAGAACTCAGAGGTACTGAATACATTCACAGTTCTACATGACTCCTTGCACTGAAAAGCTTCCTAAGAATGATTCCAATTCTAATGGAGACCTTTTGCATGATATTTTTTCCTCCTTCTAGTTTTGCACCAGCTTTCTTTTACCGTAGTATAAATATGACTACACATGCTTATCCTGTTCACAGCATTACTTTCTCTCCTAAAGGAAAGACCAATGAAGAAAGAAACAGTGGCTATAGGAAACATTATCAGAGTGGACCTGTGCATTCCCAGTCACACCGCAGGCTGACACTCACCTCGGTAGCGGCTGTATCTGTCCATCAGTCCAGTGATGGCTCTGACACTGAGCTCTGGCCGCACAGGACGGGGCATGTGCAGCTGCACAGACTCGCTCCTGGAAGAAGAAGGATTCAGATGATACTTTGGCTCCCAAACACTTCATCACGATGCTTAGAAAGCCATAAGTATACAACAGAAAAGACTTTCTCAAAGACTACTTCCAAATCATACTTACTTCCACAAACTCCTTATAGGATTCTACCATTCATGGGGTACCTTTCTTACTTTTGTCTTTGCCTAAATTTTTTTACCTCATGACTCTCAGAAACACTTGCTTTTAACTACTATCTTGGGGAAATCTAGTCCACAAACCTGAAGATTTCTCTGAGTTTGATGCCTCCTGGCCACTGCTGAATTCAGCCCTTCAACATATGCCTCTGGGCCACCAGGCAGAGATCAAGACTAACTTGTGATAAAGGGAGTACAGGACATCGTATTCAGAACAGCACACAAATGCTTGGTCACATGAACAATAGCTATAATCTAATATGTAATGGCTTCAATTGCTAGAAACAGCTTGATCTCTTTCTTAACTGGGTACCCCAGTTCACATTGAAGGTCCAACTTACCTCATCAGTAGGTCTCTCGAATCCTGTAAAGAGAAGAAAAGAAAAGGTTAGATTTCCTCAGACATTGGATGTTGTGCCTATCCAGGCTTAGAGTTTGGGAAAGTAAAGAAAATTACCCATCACAAACATTCCCTAAACCTTCTTATCAACCAGTTTACTTGTTCCTCTTAAAGGATAAGCCCAGTACAACCTGGTAACAGATTAAACTCTTGATGATTTCATAACCCTGAGGGCGAAATGAAGACAGAGAAGGCCATGGGTAGGAGCCACAGTCACCAGCATTCCTACAACCATCTGCAAGTGCTCTTCCTAGGGGTTATCCCCCAAGGCCAATGAATTAGGACAATTCAAATCTAGGACATCCAAAGAGAATGAGGAAATCAGTGTGAGCTTGTGCCAGATATTTCTGTTTTTCCCTTACAGACAAAAGTGGAATGACCAAATTGTCTCTTTCTGCTTACTAGAAACAAGGTAAATAACAAGTTTTGAAGGAAAATTACTGTGGAAAAACTACTCACAATTTCATAGAGGTTTGTCATGCACAGCTAGAAATAGTGTCATATATCGTATCCAGATAGAAAAATGACCCCCAGGCTTGTGGCCCATTGCACAGTGGTTAAGGCATCAGTCACATGCACCAAGGGTGGTGGTTTTGAACCCACCCTCGGCCAGATGAACAACAATAAATAACTGCAACAACAACAACAACAAAATAGAGCCAGGCATTGTGGCAGGCACCTATAGTCCCAGTTACTTGGGAGGCTGAGGCAAGAGAATTGCTTAAGCTCCGGAGCTTGAGGTTGCTGTGAGCTGTGATGCCCTGGCACTCTTTCGAAGGTGACATAGTGAGACTCTGTCTAAAAAAAAAATAAACAAAGAAAATGACCCCAAACAAAGATGTGGAAATAAGGAGAAATATTTTGGGGACCAAAGAAATAATAGAGATTAAAGTTATAGCAGGGCAGCACCTGTGGCTCAAGGAATAGGGTGCTGGCCCCGTATACCAGAGGTGATAGGTTCAAACCCTTCCCCAGCCAAAAACTGCAACAACAGCAACAAAGAAAAAGGTGTAGCCAACAAGCTGATGGGAAGTCCTGACCTGGAGGAGCTCCTCATCTGGTTTATGGCACAGGCCCTGCAGTTCCTTGTGCATTTCCTTTAGTTGTTTCTGCTTCTGATTTATTTGGGCCACACTTCTCTTGAGTTGCTCAAGGATATTCCAACTCTCCCTTTCCAGTTCCTCCAAATGTTTTTCTTCTTCCTTATAGAGTACTGGGTGAAGTTCCGCATATTCAGTCCTAGTCATTTTTCTCACTAGTAGTGTGTATTCCTGTAAGGAGATGGAAATGGGTTACCCAAGTCACATTCCAGGCCACCTTTATCTTGCATGCACACCTCACCTGTTTCTCTTTGGCTCTTGCCCTCCACACATTAGCAGTACAGCTTAAATTCATATTGTCCAGTTGTCACAATCCACAATTCATCTCTTTTATTCCTTCCTTCCTTCCTTTTCCTTTTTTTTTCTTTGTTAATCATGACCGGTTTTTTAGCCCACAGCCTAAATAAACCATTTTTAAATCCACTATGTGCTCCTTGGTCACAAGCACTCAGGAAGCATTACCTCTAATATAGTAACCTTACTTATGCTTTCTTTAAAGATGGAGGCTATTTGGTGCACATTGATTTTAATACTTAGGTGACCTTTTTGAGACAAGTCATCTTACTGGCCTCTGATATTCATAAAGATATGGGCGTTATTTTTATTTTTCTCTGCTATTTGTAAAGGTGTCTTTATTTCTGCTCCTATTACATCAATTACCATTCAAGATTTCTATGTCCTCTATCACATCAAGTATTATTCAAGGCTTCTATTTCATTTTACTATAAAGATACGTCAGTATTATTTACACTATCCTGTTTTTTGCTACTTAAGAAACAATTAGTGAAGTAATATATTTTAAAAATTTAGAATGTTTTTCTTTTCAATACAGAAGATAAATGCCCTGATTACAGAATGTATGCCTAGATGTAGCATTGTTTTATGATTCAAACCACCACCCATGAGAAGTATTTTTTTAGATTTTCTTAGTAGAGTTTACATTTGGTATTAGACATTCACGGAAACATTGATACTAATCATATTCACATCATACTAAATAGCCTCTCATAACCTTGAGGCAGATCACATATTTTTCATGTCGACATTAAGAATAAAAGTATAGTATCCACTAATTTGAGAATTGAATTACATCATTATTGGCTTTTGGATAAATTTAAATACCTTCAATACAAAGCATCCATGAATATATTAATACTTATACCTTTTAAAATAAGTGACCAGTTAATTATTTAGTGTAAAATTCTGGGAAAAAAGACATCAAAATTTTATTGGATATGCAATCTTTTTCCAATTACTTATTTCTCTCCTCAGTATTTGATTAAGCAACGATAATTGGATAAACATTTTACTAGACTGATCCCAGTGGTAGATTTTGGGATGTAAAGGCAACATTAGTTGGAAGAACAGCAAAGTTTTAATGAAAGATTCATAAAATTCATGGCATTCTCTGGTTGTTGGAAACACTGAGGCCGGGTGTGGTGGTTCACATCTGTAATCTCAGCACTCTGAGTGGGTGGATTTCCCGAGGTCTTCAGTTCAAGACCTGCCTGAGGCAGAGTAAGACCTCATCTCTAAAAATAGGCAGGCATTGTGGCGTGCATCTATGGGTCCAGCTACTTGGGACACTGAGATAAGAGTATCTCTTGAGTCCAAGTCTTTGAGGTTGCTGTGAGCTGTGATGCAACAGCATTCTACCAAGGGCAACAAAGTGAGGCTCTGTCTTGTAACACAAAAGGAGGAGGAGAAGAAAAAGAAGATCCATTTATTGAACACCTAATCTAATCATATACCCAAAATTCTGGGTTTCTTTGGGGCTTTCAAAAGACTGGTATTGCTTCCTCTAATAGGTAGTGCCACAGAGACAGGTTTCTCTAACATCACATCCCTTTACCAATTCCATTCAGTGGGGTCGAGATATTACCATTCCTCTGGAGTAAATTCTATGGTGGCATCCCTGAATGCTGATAGTTACCCAGCCAGCTCTAGGGCCCTGGTCGTGAACATATAGACATTGGAATCCCAAGAGACACTATCTTCAGGCACCGGAGGGGTTGCCCTAGGCACACATTTCCTGCCTCTATGTTGTCCTAGCATCCTCCTTACCACTTTTGAGTACTTGCAGGTCCCAGGGCTGCAGAGGATGTGGCAGACAGACTTTCCATATTTTTTCCTCTCATTATATATAGAAAGAGTGTTAGCTTTCATTCCCTCAAAGCACTGCCATGTCCTTCATCAGTGCCTGAGACACTGGAGAGTCACTTTCCCCAGTTACTTTCTTTAATACATATCCTCTCAAATCTGAAATCTGACATTCAACCAGTTGAAACTTAAGATTTCTTATTAAAACCTTATATGAACTATTGTGATTTGTTTAACTCATTAGCCTCCCCACTCTGCAACCTGATTGTTTAAATTAGAAGAAATATTGTATGTTATATATATGATTAGAAGCCATCAGACAAGAACAACATATCTAAAATTTCTGAACGTAATGCTTTAAAAAGATTTCTGTTACCCTCATTTCCATGGTACTCCTAAATATGACCTTGAGCTTCATATGGGCCAGCCATTTTAAAAACATGAATTCTAATTTCATTGCATCTCCTCCTAATAATCATGTGTTCATTTTCGAATCCACTGAGTCTTTTTGCTTTTGTTCTGTCCTTCTTTTTCAGCTTCTCAACATGTTCTATCTTCTCTTACCAGTATCATTGCATAGCTACTGTGAAAACCATTTTAACCATGGCAGGCACACTTCTAAAATTGTGTTCATGCTTTTCCATCCCCAATGAAAAGCCTGCAATACCCAATTATATGCTCTATATTTTCTAGAATTCATCTCCCACAGAAATCTTTGCCAGAGACACCCATGGAATTTTTATCACTTATTTTCCTCTCTGAAATCAGATTGATTTTAAATAAGTATTGAGAAATTTGGCAAAGCCCAGTGGTTACTGAATTTTCTCAAAACCCTGTGTGTGTGCCTTCTCCACCTTGCTTTGGGACACTTAATTTTTGTGGCTGTTCATACCTTAGGGTCTAGAAATACTAAGAAGAATGTGACACTCCATTGAAAAGCCCAATAGCAGGGTGTCCCAAAGGTCACCATAATAAGCAAAATTTATATATTCATATTATATTTTATATTTTTATATTTTGTACATATATATTTTGTATCTACACTTTTATATATAAATGTATCTATACATAGGGAAATGTATTATAAAATTTTGTAACAAATATTTTGTAAAGGAAGCTACATTTAGCTAAAATTTCTCATCTTCCCTATGTATGTATGTAGGGAGACCTTTAAGACAACCTACATTTTCCCATAAACCTATCAGTTCATTGAATGTAAGAACTCGTGATTTCAGGTCACAATTTTAATGGCTAATGTTCTAGCACGTCAGTCCCAAGCTGAATCTGATGGAAACATTTCCTGTACTTACCATCCAATGGTTAACCATTATTTGTTCTTCCTTGAGGTTTCTCTTATTTTCCTGGATCTTGTCCCATAAAGATCTCATTTGCTTTTCAAGTTTATCCTGCAAGAAAGATATAAATGTGAGCAGCAGAAAAACAAATAGTATAGAATTCTGACCCTGACTGATGGAGAGTGAAGAGGTGTTCAATAAAAGTGTGTTAGGGAGAGAGGCAGGATTATCTTGTACTTTTACCCTGCATAACTTTCTATTTTAGAAGATTTCAGATTGTAGCCCACATGTAACATAATCATTATCAAGGCAAAACAAATAAATATTTGATGTATTTGGGGAAGTTTCAGGTAAGCATCTTGCCTCATAATGTTCATCTACAATTGCTTCTCTAATGCCCGTCACAATGTACTTAAAGCTAATATGTTTGTCAAGTTTTGGTAAATGTGTTTCCAAAATAAATTTTCTATGTATAGTTTTCATGGTCAATGATCTCTGAACATGAGCACTTTCTGTTGATGTTTGCCTAATCCTCTTAACTAAAACAATAAGCAATTCACATTATCATCCTTCTATTGGAATGCTAACCTCACAGAGACAGCTATATATATGTGTGATATATACCCAGTACATGTTAGGCACTGGTAAAGAATGGAAAACTCTTCCTCATGGTCTTCATCTTCCTTCTACCCTCTTTAATTCTACCACTCTCCCACTTTCAACATGATCTCAGAAGCATCCCTTACCTGCTGGTCCTCAGCTGCCCTTTCAATGGGGCAGTGTCTGTGAGCCCCGTGCTCCTGGGAGTTAGAGCAGAACAAACACAGCAGGCTCCTGTCCACTTCACAGAACATCTTCTTCTTCTCCTTGTGTGTTCCACACATTTGTTCCTCAGAGCTCAGGAATTGCCAGAGACTGGTTTTTCTGGCAAGGGACACCAAATTCTTCAGAACAATATTGGTTTTGAACTTCCTCTGCTGTGATGGTTCTCTGCACTCTGGGCACTGAGTAGGATTTGGGGCTCCTTCCCAGGAGAGATAGAGGCAGGGTCTGCAAAAGCTGTGTCCACATCCTATGGTGACTGGGTCTATGAAGTAATTTAGGCAGATGGCACAGGTGATTTCCCTCTGGAAGACTTGCAGTATATCTAGGTCCATGTTCCTAAAGAAAGAAAATTAGAATTTATTACTCTGCCCTAGAGAAGCAAAAGGTTAAGCAAAAATTTACTCATGTGTTGATTGAAGAATAAACTCCTATCTAGAGCAGAATAGTCTTTCCTTGGCATGACACAAATGGAAAACTGAGACACAAACAGATTTCTCAAGCTTTGTAGAGAATTGGTTTGGTACATATATAACATGTATCTACCTTACCAAAATTTTTCTCCTCTAGAAATGTACCAGTTTTCAGCTGGATTCCCGTAAATTAGTGATTAGGGCAGCAGACACATGCACCAGGGCTGGTGAATTGAATCTGACCTGGGGTCCTGTAAAATTGAATATGGCCCCATGCCTGGTAAAAGAAAAAAAATAGCCAGGCATTGTGGCAGGCATCTGTAGTCCCAGCAACTCAGGAGGCTGAGGCAAGAGTATTACTTCAGCCCAATAAGTTTGAAGGTTGCTGTAAGCTATCATCCCTATAGTTTTATCACCCATTTTCCTCTCTGACATCAGATTGATTTTAAATCAATATTGAGAAATTTGGCAAAGCCCAGTGGTTACTGAATTCCCAAAGTGAGACTGTCTCAATAAAAAAAAAAAAAAGAAAAGAAAAGAAAAGAAATGTGCCTGTTTTGTGGTGTATTACTTTCCTTTAAGTTGCTCAAACTGCAGAAGCTTAACCCAATCTATAACTCCAGGAGTTTGGTCTGGAGGGATCTGAAAATCAGTCATAATTCTCATTGCCAGTCCACATCTCCAACATCACTCTAAGAGTAAGTGTTATGGTTTCATATCTAAATATAAATTCAGCTAACCAAGCACCCATTATTCTCTAAACAAAAATTTAATTCAATCATCAATTATTTTCTGGTACATTTCCTCTTCTAAGAACTACATATCAATCAACTCAAAGATATGCTACTGACTACAACATCCTTATCAATAGATAATAAATGTTTCACAAAAAGAAACAAATTCATGAAATGCGGTAATGTAGAGAATGCTACTGTGTCTTCTGTGTCTCACTCATGGTATAGAAAATGCTTTTCCTGCCAGCCAATTGATAAAATTGAATAAGAAAAATGTATATACAACACATTTATAAAACAAATTTTCTCCATTGATGTCTTTTGTTGTCTCTAAGAGATTCCCTCCCCAAATCAACTTTTGAATATAAGGGACAAAACTTAACCTTGTAAAATTGGATCATATTTCAACCAGTCTCTTTTTATATAAATACCTTAAGCTGTTGAATCTGTTCTATCTTTATTATCTAGATCTTGTGTACAAACAGAATATCAAGAGCCTGCTTGATGGAGAAAAACCAAAGTGATAATGGTGGGAAACTAAGAATAACAAGACAAACATAAATATAGGATTGGGAGGACTGGTGCAGCCATGCTCATCACCAGCCTCAAGCAAAGAAATCAGCTTTATTATATAGGGAAAATAATAAGTGTTGCTTGGGCGGAGACAGTGTAACCAAGGAAAAAATCTTCAACTTTATGGGGTTGTGTACATGCTAGGAAAAAGGTTCCAAACAAGTTAATAAAAACAATCTATTCCATTACAATTATCTGTTTCATCACAAGACTTCTGTAGAGTGAGGTAAAAGGTAAAAGCTTCCTGGGAGAGGATGAAAAACAAGTTGAAGAAAAACATGTTGTTCTTGAAGGAAGAGGGCAACTGGGGATCATTATTAGAACATTCCTCAAGTCATGGGGGACCCCACCACCTCATGACTGTTCTCCACCACAGACCAGTAAATACATAATTGAAATTAATAATATCTTCTAGGTCTTTGAAAAACACCAGGCATACTTTCACATTGTGAAAAAATAGTAAATAACACGTAATAAAATTCACTGTACAAAAAACCAAACAAAAAGGTTTCTCATTTCTATAATAGATAAGTACAGATAGCATTCTCATTACTGAGGTTCATTCATGATTGCTAATATCTTTTTCAATGACTAAACATTTACCCATTGTTTAGCATTTAAGTTTATAAATGGAAGCTTCTAAAGTGACAATACTGCCACTGTCTTGAGCAATATTTTCCTAATAAAGTTATCAGTTATTTGCATATCTCTTCTATGTGTACATGAAGCACCACTTATAAAGTAGTATGTAATATATGTATGTATATATGACATTATAGAATAAAATGTTCCTGGCCAGACTCCATACACAAAGCTCAGAGTTTAGGGCATTGGCCACATGCACCTGGTTGGTGGGTTTAAACACAGCCCGAGCCTGCTAAAACAAAAATGACAACAGCAGCAAAAGATAAAAAAATTAAAAAAAAAGAAAATAGGCAGGTTTCTGTAGTCCCAGGTATGTGGGAGGCTGAAGCAAGAGAATTACTTAACCCCAGAGTTTGAGTTGGCTGTGAGCTGCAACACCATAGGACTCTACCTAAAGGGCAATATAGTGAGAGTCTGTCTGAAAAACAAGAAAAAAAAATGAAAAGAAATAAAAAAGAAAAAAAATATTTCTAACCAATTTGTAGAATCTACAAAAAGTACAAAATTGTAAGTTATCTGGCAACCTACCTTTGAATATTACCATGTAAACAATGAAGATTTACATAACATAATACAGAAAAATCATCATATGAATTAAAAATTAGTAAGATGACTTTACAAAATAGTTTATCTTTCAACTAGGTTATAGGAATGGAGTCATTATAACTAAATGAGAAAAATCACTCCATAAAAACAATTTCAATTTACTGATCTGCAAATTAAAATTACACCATTTGTTTCAGTGATAGAATGTAGTAGAGACTCATGCAGATTGGGTACTCACCTAATGACTATATCTGTGATCTCACCAGTGCTTGCTGGAGAAGTAGTATGAAGTCAGGTTAGGACCAGGACCTCACAGGGTAGGGGAAGTAGCTTTCAGAAGTGTCCAAGGCCAAGTGAGCTCCCAGCTTAACTCTGCCTGTTGTGGAGAATGAGCGTGGATCCTTGAGACCCTCTAATTTATAGGACCTCTGAAGACCACACCCATAACATCAAAGTGATTGCATTTCCAGCCTCATCACATGGGTGGGTGTTAGTATGAGTGAATAGGTTTCCCGGAAACAAAAGGAAAGATTGATTTATCACCTTAGATATCTTTATAAACAAATTTCTACAAACATCATCTCATCAGGAATCACAGATTTTGCAACAAATAAACTCCCTACTGGTGATTTAGTGTCTAAAAACTATTTTTGGATTGATCGCTTTAATTATCATTATTATTATTTTTATAATTATTATTATTATTATTTGCAGTTTTTGGCCAGGGCTGCGTTTGAACCCATCACCTCCCATATATGGGCACCCTACTCATTTGAGCCACAGGTGCCACCCTGGTACCTTTAATTATTAACTGATTTAAAAAAAAGGTAAAAAGAACAATTAGTTAGTAATTTTCAAAAATACAGTCAGCAGTTAGTAATTTTAAAAAATATCTAAGAAACTTGGGGGATGATGTGCCTGAGGGTGATTTGACATGTATTTTGTTACTGTAGAAAGTGTTTTATTTTTTATATTGATTTATTTTTGTATTGTAATGTAAAAATGTAATGTAAGAACAATTTTGACTATTACTTCAGAACAGAGATTTCTCCTACTCCTGAAACTCCAGATAATGTTGCCTAAGGTTTTCTCTCCATAGCATGATACATAATTCTTTGCCAGACACCCTCCCACCCCCTCTAAGAGGGAATGGGAAGGAACGGCTGAGAAGCCAGAAGCAGGGTACCCCTGTGTCAGAGCAGGGGAAGAGAAGTTATGTGGAGGTTAATGAGAATTTATTTCTACCCCAGAATATAATTATGGTGGGAGCCTTTTCCCCAACTTGTTTAGTTCATTGCTTATGGGGTGGGAAAAGATGACACATTGGAGCCTTAACAAAGGCTCCTTCTCCTGAAAATCAGGAGAAAAAGGAGAAAAGGTCCCTTCTCCTGAAAATCACCTCCAAATATCTTCCATGTAGTCTGAGAGAGCCAAACTGGATTCTGAAGAAGCATCTCAGATCTGTGCACAAGAGTTTTTAGGCAACTACCTTGGCTTCACAGAGAAAATTGGGACAGTAGGATGATACAGCAAGGCTCTGAGGACCTAGAGGAATAAACAGGAAGGAAGGGAAATGAAGTTGAGGAAGCCCCTATATTCTAGGGTGCCTCATTTTGAGCATAGACAATGATGGATGCTTTCACCTTGAGGTCTTTCCTGGTCTCCTCTGAGATCTGGGTTTTCTTGTGGATGCAGCCATCCAGGGATATGAGAGGAGGTTTGATTCTAGGGGCATAAAGCAGGGACTTGGGATGGAGAAACCCTAAGGGAAGGGGACCCTGCTGAGCAGATTCCTGGATTCTTGGGGCACGAAGGTAGACTGGGGATAACCTTGTGAGACCTGCAAGTTCCAGAAATCCCCTGTCTCCATCACCAGTGGATGGAGCCAGTGATTGGGGATGGGGAAGCCTGGGGAAACATGGGAGAAGGAAGTGAGATATCAGGGTAGCTTTTACTGTTCGCTGGACTGAGTATCCTCTTAGACTCAGAAACAAGGAGTACAGGTGCTCTGGGGCCTACAGAGCAGAACACTTTTCTATGGTTCCTCCAAAAGCATCCAGTGTCACAGGACTGACAGACACATCTGTGAGGACTTCTAGATCCTACAGTCTCCCTAGGATTTCTAAATCCCAAAATCACTGTCTGAACCAGGAGCTTCTCCTGGTTTGTTTTTTCAGAGCATACAATAGAACATTGGCTCCACACATAGGCCTGACCATTCTAAATTTCAATCCAGCCTTCTGTGTTGTGAAGGTATAAAATATTTCTCTGATCAGAAGGACAGAAGATGTGCATTGACAGTTTGATAGCTACTGTTACACATTCAGAACATTTGGGCGTTTGGTATGTATGCCTCAATTTGTTTTCTTGCTCCAGTTTCACAAATATGAGAAGGTATCTGTGAAAAAAATCTCACTGAGAGGT